GGACTCCCGGGCACTGCGGTGCATTATACCGTTCGTTGCTGCGACCTATTTTTAAGTATTCGACGGTCGTGTGGTCTCCATACTACCAAAATGAAATCATGCGTATTGAAGCTATTCAACGGAAGTTCATCCGGTATGCTTGTTTGCTGGAATGACTCTAGAAATCTGCCTAGCTATGAAATCCGTTGTATGCTCATCAACTTAGAGCTTTTGGAGGAAGAGGCTCTAGGGAAGACAATGTTAGCCTCCCACCCCGAGTTCAGATTGACGGTGACGAAATCGAGGTAGTCGATGAGTTCGTGTAGTTGGGCTCACTGGTGACCGCCGAAAATGATACCAGCAGAGAAATTCAAAGACGCATTATGGCAGGGAATCGTGCCTACTTTGGACTCCGGAGGACGCTCCGGTCGAAGAAAATTCACCGCCGCACGAAGTTGACTGTCTACAAGACGCTGATTAGACCGGTGGTCCTCTACGGCCACGAGACCTGGACTATACTCGTGGAGGACCACGTGTTTTCGAACGGAAGGTGTTGCGTACCATCTACGGTGGAGTGCAGATGGATTACGGAACGTGAAGGAGGTGAATGAACCACGAATTGCACCAGCTGCTGGGAGAACCATCCATCATCCACATTGCAAAAATTGGGCGACTATGGTGGGATGGGCACGTCGTAAGAATGCCGCACGACGACCCAGTGAAAATGGTTCTAGAAAGTGACCCAACAGGAACAAGAAGAAGAGGCGCGCAGCGGGCAAGGTGGATCGATCAAGTAGAAGGTGACCTGCGGACCCTTCGCAGACTACGAGGCTGGCGAAGTGTGGCCATGGATCGAGTAGAGTGGAGACGACTTCTTCGGACAGCAGAGGACAACAAGGCCTAAGCCTGATTGGTAAGTGGTAACGGGTTACATCTACGATCACATGCTTTCCTGAACAACCGCTTCTGACGAACCAACTACGGATGAAATGAGCCCATGCGGAGGATGTGTTGCATCTTTAACAGATGTTACAATGTATTTGAATTCAATGTTTACAGTTTTAGAAAAAAAAGTGCAATTTCAAGAGTATTTTATGTTAATTTGTCTAGAATACGTATACTGTCGGTCGGTTAATGCTGGGTAATGCGCAAAACAGATTCCATTAAGATCATTAGCCTCTTCTCAGCAACTCTTATCCCTACCTCCCCGTGGTACCGGCCGGGAACTGTGAGCAACCTTAGGGAAGATCGGGTAACCAACCCCGGTGGGAACTTTGGTCATAGGCTGACAGGGAAGGGCCCCCCCCTTCCCTGTCAGCCTATGACCAAAGTTCCCACCGGGGTTGGTTACCCGATCTTCCCTAAGGTTGCTCACAGTTCCCGGCCGGTACCACGGGGAGGTAGGGATAAGAGTTGCTGAGAAGAGGCTAATGATCTTAATGGAATCTGTTTTGCGCATTACCCAGCATTAACCGACCGACAGTATACGTATTCTAGACAAATTAACATAAAATACTCTTGAAATTGCACAACCCCCCCCCGGGTTTGCTTTGGCAAGCCTGAGCGTCTGTTCTCCAGGAGGAGCGGCTCACAACAGCTTCTGTTCCCCATGTTAAGCACAACTGTGCACCGTTGTCCTCCGGAAAGTTAGGGGGTTGGTGTCAGGCCCTGCGAGCCAGTCGTAAAAAAGCATTGCAACGGAAAATCAGCAACAGAGGAATACGAACCGAGACCAACGGCAACGACCCCAGCGACGAAATAGGACTTGCGATTGGAAACTCGGCACGTGGAACTGTCGATCTCTCAATTTCATCGGGAGCCCCTGAATACTCGCCAATCTACTGAAGGACCGCGGATTCGGCATCATAGCGCTGCAGGAGGTGTGTTGGACAGGATCCATGGTGCGAACGTTCAGAGGTAATCATACCATCTACCAGAGTTGCGGCAACACACGCGAGCTGGGCACAGCTTTCATCGTGATGGGCGAAATGCAGAAGCACGTGATTGGTTGGTGGCCGATCGACGAAAGAATGTGCAGGTTGAGGATCAAGGGCCGATTCTTCAACTTAAGCATAATCAACGTGCACAGCCCTCACTCCGGAAGCACTGATGATGACAAGGACGCATTTTACGCGCAACTCGACCGCGAGTACGATCGCTGCCCAAGCCATGACGTCAAGATCATCATAGGAGACCCAAACGCTCAGGTAGACCAGGAGGAGGAATTCAAACCGACGATTGGAAAGTTCAGCGCCCACCAGCTGACGAACGGGAACGGCCTATGACTCATAGATTTCGCCGCCTCCAAGAACATGGCCATACGTAGCACCTTCTTCAAACACCACCTCCCCTATCGTTACACCTGGAGATCACCACAGCAGACGGAATTGCAAATCGACCACGTTCTGATTGATGGACGGCACGTCTCCGACATTATCGACGTCAGGACCTATCGTGGCGCTAACATCGACTCTGACCACTACCTGGTGATGGTCAAACTGCGCCCAAAACTTTCCGTCATCAACAATGTACGGTACCGACGCCCGCCACGGTACAACCTAGAGCGACTGAAGCAACCGGATGTCGCCTTAGCATACGCGCAGAATCTCGAGGCAGCGTTGCCAGAGGAGGACGAGCTTGATGTGCCCCCTCTAGAGGACTGCTGGAGTACAGTAAAAGCAGTCATCACCGACGCAGCCGAGAGCACCATCGGGTACGTGGAAAGAAGTCGACGGAATGAATGGTTCGACGAGGAGAGCAGAGCGATTTTGGAGAAGAAGAACGCAGTGCGGACGCTAATGCTGCAGCATGGAACCCGACAGAACGTGGAACGGTATAAACAGAAGCGGAAACAGCAGACCCGCATCTTTCGGGAGAAAAACTGCCGCCTCGAAGAAGCGGAGTGCGAGGAAATGGAACTGCTGTACCGTTCCTAAGAAACACGGAAGTTCTATCAGAAGCTCAACGCATCCCGCAACGACTTCGTGCCACGAGCCGAAATGTGCAAGGATAAGGACGGGAGCCTCTTGACGGACGGACGTGAGGTGATTGAAAGGTGGAAGCAGCACTTCGATGAGCACCTGAGTGGCGAGGAGAACGTAGACACGGGAGACTAGCGCAATGGAGGAAACGACTACGTCAGTGCAGCAGAGGACGGAACTGACCCAACTCCCACGCTGAGGGAAGTTAAGGATGCCAATCAGCAGCTCAAAAACAACAAAGCAGCTGGTAAGGATGGTATCGCAGCCGAACTCATCAAGATGGGCCCAGAAAAGTTAGCCATCTGCCTGCACCGGATGATAGTCAGGATCTGGGAAACAGAACAGCTACCGGAGGAGTGGAAGGAGGAGGTAATCTGCCCCATTCACAAGAAAGGCGACCATTTGGAATGTGAGAACTTCAGAGCGATCACCATTTTGAATGCCGCCTACAAAGTGCTATCCCAGATCATCTTCCGTCGTCTATCACCTAAAATGACCGAGTTCGTGGGAAGTTATCAAGCCGGCTTCATTGACAACGGACCAGATCTTCACCGTACGGCAAATCCTCCAGAAATGCCGTGAATACCAGGTCCCAACGCATCAATTGTTCATCGACTTTAAGGCGGCATACGACAGTATCGACCGCACAGAGCTATGGAAAATCATGGAAGAGAACGGCTTTCCTGGGAAGCTGATCAGACTGATCAAAACAACGATGGACGGTGTGCAAAACTGCGTAAGGGTTTCGGGTGAAGGTGTAATGCGACGAGCCGGGCTCAACAGCTGGGGTACGATTTTCACGAAATCCGGTCAATTTGTGTGCTTTGCGGACGACATGGACATTATCGCAAGAACATTTGGAACGGTGGCAGAACTATGCACCCGCCTAAAACACGAAGCAGCAAAGGTCGGACTGGTGGCGAGTGCGTCAAAAACAAAGTATAAGCTAGTAGGCGGAACCGAACATGACAGGATTTGTCTAGGAAGTAATGTCACGATAGACGGGGATACTTTCGAGGTAGTGGAGGAATTCGTTTACCTTGGATCCTTAATGACGGCTGACAACTATGTGAGTCGTGAAATACGAAGGCGCATCATCAGTGGAAGTCGTACCTACTGCGGGCTCCTGAAGAAACTACGGTCAAAAAAGATTAACCCCCGCACCAAATGTACCATGTACAGAACGCTAATAAGACCGGTGGTCCTCTATGGACACGAGACATGGACTATGCTCGAGGAGGACCTGCAAGCACTCGGACTTTTCGAGCGACGTGTGCTAAGGACGATCTTCGGTAGTGTGCAGGAGAACGGTGAGTGGCGGCGAAGAATGAACCACGAGCCCGCTGCACTCTACGGCGAACCCAGCATCCAGAAGGTGGCCAAAGCCGGAAGGATGCAGTGGGCAGGGCATGTTGCAAGAATGCCGGACAACAACCCTGCAAAGTTGGTGTTCGCTACTGATCCGGTTGGCACAAGAAGGCATGGAGCGCAGAGAGCACGATGGGCGGACCAAGTAGAGCGTGATCTAGCGAGCATTGGGCATGACCGAGGATGGAAAGCGGCAGCCGCAAGCCGAGTATTGTGGCGTACTATTGTTGATTATGTCTTATCTTAAATGTGATGTTGTACAAATAAATGTATGTATGTATGTGCGTATACTGTCATTGGGTTGAATATTTTACCTGTTGACCATAACATAAATAAATAAATAACCAAATTCGTTAAAAATTTTCACCGTTTTTTGGGACCTCAATACACATCGGAAGAGCAGTGGGTAACAGGGGGTGATGCACCTTACAAACTTGACTCACCCTAATGAATATAGTGACCGTTTAATCAATTTGTGCTATTTTCATTGCATGCACAAACTGCTGACACATTTCACACCGCAGATTTCCACAGCGTTATCAATTCGATTTCGATGACGTCTTTACACCACCCTTATCGTAAAGATTACCTGTGTTCATAATCATTACCGATAATTATTGTCCTTTATCTAATCACCCTCGTCCCAGTAAACAACATCCAAACTGCACTCACCTGCAACCTGCAGCGTCGCGTTCCGGCTGTGCACCGTACCGGCCTTGTTGCTGGCCACACACCAGTACACCCCGTCGTCCTGTTCCTTCTTGCTGTGCAGCGTCCGCAGGAAGAACAATGACCCCGACGGAAGAAGCACATGGTTCGAGTCCAATTTGACAAGCTCGCCGTCCTTGTACCACTGGACGATCGGTAGCGGTTTACCTTCCGCCTTGCAGTTCAACGTAACCGGGTCATTCTTCGGCACGGTGGCATCGCTCGGGTGTTCCGTGATACGGGGCGAACGGTATTGGGCTGCAAGGAAAAGGAAAAAAACACAGATAGATTAGACAATGCATTGCTCAGAATGGAAAAGTCGATAACCGCGATATCGATCCCGAGGGAGATGGCACAAATTGATTGAACATCACTGAAACGAAATCCATGACCACGTCAACGAGCCAAGTACAAGCAATCCGAGCAACCGATAGGCGAAAACATTTCTGTTGATTTTGCAAAATTTCACTTACAGTCCGTCCCAGGCTCGACTGTAGGCACCAGAGGATGACTATGACAACTTTATCGATGTAAGCCGAGCGGCTTGTCAGAAGGATTTTCCACTTTATTGGGGATTTTCCTCCTCATACCTCGGCACTGACTGTGCGAAAAGCGGATTAGATTTTCGTGACACATTTGTTCGAATGGGTTCGTATGGGAGAGGCTGCATTCCAGGATCCAGGGGCAGCTTGCTTACATAGACAACTTTCGTCTTTTGTGCTATCCGGGTGGCTGCAGAATATGTTGAACTGTCTGTGCCGTGCCAGTCCGGAAATGATGACTGGGAGGCATTCGGATCGGAGCTTATCTGACAGGAACCAACCATGAGTGGGATGAGACGGATGGGGGACCGAACAATATCAAGTTGACTAGGCAGATTTGATTAAAGTTTAAAATTTAAGCTCTCTCACTCCACCAAGCATGAGTGACATGCTATAGCCACAGCCTCGGTGGGTATTCCCCGATGGTTGGGCAAAGTTCTAAAGTCGAAGCTTTATCTCGGCGAGTAGGACTGGATTAGACGAATGTGGCGACTAGAAGGGAAGCGATTTATCAAAATTAAATAGAAGTTTAAATGGCAGCAACATGCTTTTGGGACGGTCCCTCCTTTTTCCAGGCGATGATGTTACAAACATATGACGGGTGAGATGAGATGAAAATTTAGTCCCGGCATTTTAGATGTCGATGCCAAGTGGCAAGGGTCGGGCGATGGGATGATAATGTAAGATTTATGAGCGAAGTGTGACGTTTGAAGCTTTGGGTACTTAGAGTATAATTTGAACGATGCGTACGTTCCTTAGTATTGAGGAGATTCACTTGAGAATCATCTTAAATTTAAAGTGTCGCTGAACTGGATTAGCATTTCGAATTCCACCCAAATCATGTACATGTCACATTAGCATGTTCAGAAAATCCTTTCCAACCCCCGTCAGACTAGTATGCAAAAGTTTTCAAACTCTCCACTCAGCCAGTTAGCATTTTTCGAAAATACACACTCCCAATTTTCACCTAGCCAGGACTACAAATCGAACATTGCACAGCTCGTGCATATTTCATCGCTGCTGCCTGCCGAAAATAAAACTTCCAATGCTCTGATGTGAATTAAATTTGAATAGGAAATTTTGTTTCACATATCCACTCAGTGGCAACTGGCTTCCGGGGCTCCTGCGAACTCGACACGAATGTGAACGATCACATCTGATGGAGCCAGGACCATCAGGTGAGCTATATGGATCCGGAGATTTCTCCGTCTCTACCTCTGCGTCCTTCTCCACCGGGGTTCACCTGGATTCCGAGAGTGGAAGCAGAATAGAGTTGTTGAACTCGGATTCTTTTTTTGTTTGTCGCCATCAACAACGACTTTGACGCGGTGCACACCGCGTTTGTGTTCGTTTGTCGAGTGGAAAAGGAAGACAGCTGCAAGGTTTAAAAGTGTCGAATCGAAACTCGAAATGCTGCTACCGATGCTAGGAATACGTCGGGAAAGCCATAACAACACAACAGCAACGACCGAAAAGGGATAAATATTCATTATTCGCCGTGGTGAGATGCTCTCGTTGATTTCAATGCAGATTTGTACCGGTTCTAGAGGAGTAGGAATGGAAATTTTTTTTTCTCTGCACTCGCGACTTATGGAGATTACGCCGAGACGGTACAAACTTTGCCCTGTGGGTGAGGGCGGTGGGGATGATTCCATATTCAGAAATACCACATTCGTCTGGGACGGAGCAATTTACTAACAGCAAAGCTCGGTGGAATCGGCTTCGTCTGTCTAGGTCTAGGATTCAGACTTGTGGGAGTGTTCTGCATGCAATTTACATAGCTTGGGATTAAATTTACTGAAACAGTAACGAGTTTTTAATCAGCAGCCATCAGTGGAAGAGATGTAATAGTGCATACAGTATTAGAAACACTGGATTTTATTTTGATAAAACTTGTATTATTCTTGTAAATCTACCTATACGGACCATGTGTGTCACACATTTAAGTAAATCTCGATGAACATTTCAAATGACCTTGCCGTGATTCTCTTAATCATCATTAATCGAATTTCTCTTTTTATAACCACGGCTATATCAACATATTTCACATTAATTTCGCAACATAGTTTGATAAAAGAGATTCTCAACCATTGGCGTAGCTACTTCTGGTGCCAAGGGGACCAGGCCCCCTCCAGAATTATCTAGCTAGGGAATTTAGGGTATTTTTGATACATCGCTATTTTGTCAAGCAGTTTCAAGGTTACTTTTTATTTTCATGGATTTTTATGAATATCTACTTTTCTCAAAAATTTTTGACTCGAAGAAACAATGTCGAGAATTAAATCTCAGAGTTCACTCGGCGCGATCATCTGTTTACTCGGCAGCCACCATTGTCTGGTACTCCTAGTACAGGCTTAAAGCCTTTGGAAAATGATGATGACGTGTAGGCAGCTGGATCAGCAAATCGGAGCGGACAATCCTATATTCTTCGGTTCAATGATTGGGCACTCGCAAGAGTCTCGGCCCGTCTGCTGCTGGACAGGGGTTGAACTGGTGTCTGCGACAGGTTGGAAGGCCGCAGAACATAAGTGTCCACTCAGCAAAAGCTCCTCCCCTTTTAAGTTTTTCTCGTTAAACTCCTTCTCTCAACAAGTTGGTAAATCTTAGTCTTTAGCAGAAAGACGTTTAAAATTTTTTTCGACGAATTTATGATCCTGTTTCACGTCATGGTTCTTCCCTATGCCTGTTTAGATAAATTAGTACTTTTATTCATTTTCGCTACTGCACTAAATCAAAGGAGTAGAAATAAGAAGGGATGTCGGTTACGCGCTCGAATAATTGAAAATTCGATAGCCAGCTGGAAAAATCTCAGGCATAACATTTGATAACGGCACAAAAGCTTTTGTAAACAAACTTTTTAAGGCCCTCTACATGCAAATCGAAATACGCCCACGCAAACCAACAACATCTTAGGGGCGACTCTCACCTGTTGGAAAGTGGTAGTGGTTTGCGTGGGCGTACTTTGGTTCACGTGTAAAGGGCCTTAAAAAGTTTGTTTACAAATGCTTTTGTGCCGTTATCAAATTTTACGCCTGATCTTTGGCATTAATCGTAAATCGAATAATTGAACTTTTAGGCATCCCTAGAAAAAAAAATGTAAATTCTGAAAATGTCGAACAGCAGAATTGCAACCAGCAAGTGTAACCCAAGACCCAAAAACAGTGTGATGCAAGGGGTAAGTCACTCAGTACAGTATGCTGAAACTTGATTCGGCACAGCTAGGGCACATCCATCGGCACACCTTCGGTACAATCTCGAAGGCATTGGATTGTTTATTATATATAATGGGAGCACTGCTGGACAGCTGTCATTGAAGTTTGACTACGTATTTCAGAAAAATACGCTAACTGTACATACTAGAGGAACTATAACCAGCAATTCACTTCACGGTTCACATTTAAATTCGAAATATAGGCTTCCGAGGGCTGCCGATTGCTATCGATGCCAGTCACAAGTATTTCAGCTACTACGCAAATGGAGTGCACTACGAACCGGAATGCATGAACAATTTGGATGGATTAAATCATGCAGGTTGGTGGCGGTTGGATACGGAAACCTCAAAGGAGAAGATTACGGGCTAAACAAGAACTCCTGGTCCGACTGCTAGGGCGACGATGTAAATATATGCTTTGATGGCGGTGAAGGGTGACAACTGTTTCCTTATCACCGATTGGACGTATGTAAATTTGAAGTAAGATTTCTGTTTAAATTTGAATTAAGTAAAAGAGTAGTTTTATTTTCGGATATGTGTCATCTTATACGAGATGAAATAAACAGTTTTTGATTTTTGTAAAATAAAATAAAAATTGTAAGTTAAAAATAAGGTTGAGTGGAAGCAATAAAAATTCCGTGTGATTGTGCCGTGAAAAATAGTTCAATTTCAATTGCTTCCACTGAACATACTCAACATACTCGAATTCTCCCGGAACTCCAACCCGATGGCAAAAGCGAACGTCTTAGCTTAGATCATCTTTCATGGCATAATCCATTCCGACGTCAAAAACCTCCGATAGCTTCTTGCCCGGAATCATCACCTCCAGCAGTTCCTCTTCCAAATTGAGCAGAAAAGTGTAGTGCTTCTGAATCGTTTCCGTCGGATTGACCAGCAACGTTCGGACGACATTGGAGCAGCAGTACTTGTAACGTGCACCCAGAGCACAGACAATCCATCAGAAATGCAGATAGTTCTTGTCGCTGAATGTACTGAACTTCAAGCTATGACTGCCACCCGATTGGATAATCGCCGGGTGGCACATGTCTAACTAGTTGGTATCGGAGACAAACCTTTTGTCCGTCAGAGCCTGCTCGAGCGTTTGAAGCGATGCATTGCGTATGTCCATCGATTCCTGGACAACCTACGTCGAGCGTCCACGGGTAGTGTTCGAGTTACAGCAAAAGAATTAAGCCGAGAGGAATAGCAAAAGGCGGAGTGCTTTGTGGATACTGGTACAGTCGGATGCATATCCTGATGAGGTGGCAACGATGAAACGTAGCAGAGAACCCGAGAACGAAGTAAAGCATCTGGAGCGTTCGAGTAAAATTGCGAAGCTGTCTCCGATGATGGATGAGCACGGAATCCTTCGAGTAGATAGTCGGATCGGTGCAGCAGAGTATTTGCCGTACGATGCAAGATACCCGATCATCCTACCACATGATCATCGTGTGGCGATGCTACTGCTGGATTGGTATCATCGTGACTTTCGTCATGCCAACGAT